CGCCATTGCACTCCAGCCTGGGTAACAAGAGCAAAACTCCGTCTCAAAAAAAAAAAAAAGAAAGAAAAAAAAAGAAATAGTCCCTGCCCTAGAGAAACATTAAAACAGGAAATGACCTCAGGAAGTGGTCAATGCTTTGACACAATAAGCCCTGGATGTTCTCTGCAACCCAGAGGTACACCAGCCTAAGTAAGGCTTAGGGTTTGAGACGTGACAGAGACAGTTTTTCACGTGGCTTGATGTCTACACGGAGTCTTACGGGCCAGGCCAATCTGGAGGCACACGATTTAGAGAGCAGCATCAATAAGGTCAAAGGCCCAAGGACTAGAGGAAATGGGGCCTAGGGCAGGAGCTCAATGCAAGGAGCAGGGTGGCAGGAGGTAAGTACGGCGCACAGTGGGGCTCCCTTTGCAGGCCAAGGCATCCACGCTTTTGCCGGAAGGCAGGGAATAATCACTGCAGGGTTTGAGGTGCACAGGGAGCAGAATCAGCTCACTCTAGCCAGCTGACTGGCTAAGCAGGGTTACAGGCACAGATAGGGCATGGATGACACCAACGTATCTACTTGGGTAACTGACACCACTCACTGACAAGCACATCACGGAGAAGATGCGACTCTGGGGAAGGATGGGGAACTCAGCGCAGGACACGCTGAGTTGGAAGCGTCTGCAGGGGAGTTTTTGGAGGCGGTTGCCTGGATGGGTCTGGCATCTAGGAGAACAATCTGGGCTGAAGACAAAGATTTGAGAGTCGTAACACAGAGGCACACCAAAGCCGTGAAGGTGGCTGATCATCAAGGGTGAGGACAGAGTGGAAAGAGGGTCAAAGATGGACTCTACCATTACTAATCTCTAAGGGATTGTGAGAAAACACTTTAAATGGTCTATTTTCAAGGCATGATAAATCTAAGTATTCGCAGGCAGCCTGCAAAGGTAACAAACCACACGGCTCACACCCCTAGAAAGTCACAATAAGTGAACAGAATGTAGGGGGTGTTCCGCCCATAAAAAGGAAGAAAGCTTTGTTATTGTGAAATATAAACTTAAGTAGGGATGGAGATGGGGTGTAGCCTTATAAGGGGCATAATGAAACTTAGGCAACGTAACCTCATAGTACTCGACCAATGAGGAACTGGGGGAGGGACTTGCGTGCTAGGAAATAAATTACATGCTGTAACTGTCCCAGCTGTGCCTGCCTACCAGACACCCAATCATTATTAAAAGTCTCACTTCAGGCCGGGCGCGGTGGCTCAAGCCTGTAATCCCAGCACTTTGGGAGGCCGAGGCGGGTGGATCACGAGGTCAAGAGATCGAGACCATCCTGGTCAACATGGTGAAACCCTGTCTCT